TGTTGTTGCTGTTGTTGCTTTTGTTGCTGTTGTTGCTGTTGCTGCTGCTGCTGTTGCATAAATTGTATGGGTACCTGCTGTAATACTCTCTGGTCTCCAGGCTGAGCAGGAAAGCCTAGGTAAAGCACAGAGATGCATATATATACAAAACAAATACACGTACTACTGAAAAATAAAGAGTACTTTAAAGCCGACCAACTGAAAACAAAATAATAGCAATTAATTCTGTGCAATTTACCTGCAGGCCTGTTGGCAAAATCAGGGATTTTGGGACCAGAGTTGTCTAAACCCAAACTCTGTTCGCTTCCCAGACTGGGCAATTCAGATTCCTCCATGCTAGCGGCAGTCACATCAAGGCTACTATGAAAGAAAGAACAAATAAATGAAGTTTGATCACAAAAAAATAAAAACAAACTCAAGGCAACAGTAGTACAACATTTCAACTGTCTACTTTTGCAAAAACAAAACAGTTATCGCTACAGATTATTACCCTAATCCCTCTACTTGCTGTTGTCCCTCTCCATCTTTTGGCTTCTTCTTGCGTGCTGGTTTCTTCTTTTTGGGTTTGGCCTGATTGCCAGCCCCTGCTCCTTGTTTTCCTCCTGGCCCAAACTGACTGGCTGAGATATCACTCTGTAGCAAGTTGACCAGCAGTGGGCTAGTCAGTGTAACATCCTTGCTGACAGGATAGCCACCTGGCTGTCCACATGGTCCCCCCATTGGTATCTGACCTGGAAACTGTGAGTTAAAGTTCATGCCATGGCCAGTAAAGTGGCCATTTCCCATCTGCATGTGCTGGGGGCCCCCCATCATGCCTTGCTGCTGTGCCTGCATATCAGGGACCATCTGTTGGACCCCCAAGTCTCCTGTCCCACTACTGGGATCTCCCAGAGAATGTGGGTGTTGTTGAGCTGCCTGTTGTTGCTGCTGCAACATGACTTGCTGCTGCTGTTTCTGTTGCAACTGTTGTTGGATAAGAGGGTGACCAGCAGGTAGCCTCATCTGTTGCCCATGCATGCCCATAACTTGATTAGGATTGCCAGCAATAGCAACCTGCTGGGGTTGTGGCTGGTTCATCTGCTGATGTTGTGGCTGGTTCAGCTGCTGATGTTGCTGCTGCTGCTGCTGCTGCAACTGGTGTTGTTGCTGATGTTGCAACTGCTGTTGTTGGAGCTGAGCCATTTGCTGTTGCTGTTGTGGAGTCATCTGCTGTGGGCCAACCTGACTCTGGAACTGAGTCATGTTACCTGGAACATTTGGAGAAGGGCCACGCATCATCTGGCCAGGCATGACTGCAGTTGGCATCTTGCCTCCAAACGCCTGCTTGTTGCCTTGCATCTGGTTGGCAACCATTTGTTCCATCATGGAGTTTTGTTGCTGTTGCTGCTGCTGCTGCTGCTGCTGTAGGAGCATAGCCTGGTGTCCTTGGCCTCCAACCATCTGACCCTGCCCATGCATCACCCCCTGGCCTTGCTGAGGCATCATCTGCTTGGGTGGGGTCATCCCTCCTCTCTGCCCTTGACTGAGAGGCCTTGAGAGGATAGTCTGACCTCCACCCTGGCCTTGAACCATCTGGCTGGGGGAGGAGGACACGGGCTGAGCCTGATGCTGGAGGCCCATCATCTGGGTCTGGAGGCCAGGCTGTTGTTGGCCCATACTAGGCCCAGCGGTTGTACCAGGAGGTGGACCTGCCATACTACTTTGTGCACCAATAACATTGGGTTGGCCATGGTGTGGACCCTGCATCGAGTTTGGTGTGGAGACTGATGGCTGAGCTCCTGATGTAAATGGTGGGGAATAACATGAAGAAGTGTTACTAAAATGGGTTTCACAACAGGTAATAAGACACTGTTTATTCTACTAACTGCATGCCATGTCATGGCATCTCAAATGAGACAATGGAAACATCAAAGCAGTTTGTCAAGGCTTAATCAACCATCAGACAGGGGGCTGGCATGTAATGAGTTTGGTCTTTGAAAATTAGGCCCTCCAGTTTCAAATAATAAAAGGTCCCATTAGAACCCATTCTTCCAAAAGTAATAATCCTGCAATCTTGATGTGTTTCTATTCTGAATGTTCCACCAACAGTGTTCACACTTGACTAAAGTATTACCACTTGTGAATGTTTTAGGATGTAATAGTGATATTCTAAATTAAGACAAAATAATTCCAACTATGACTGGATTACTGTGAGAATAATTTATTTTACCAGGACCTGAAGTCGCAAATCTCTATGATCAGCTGAAAGCATTATTAATTGTAAATAGCTGTGATAAACCTTTATAATATCAGTAACGAGTTCATTACTTTTAATTACTCCTACCATTTCAGTCCAGTGGTTATAGCATCAGCAATATTAGGTACTGGTAATAATAACATTAACATTTACTCAAACTTAAGGCCTACAACAATTAATTGTGCCATTATTATATCCCAATATTTAAATATTTCATACAACTAATTAATATGAACAAATTTTAATCAGAGTTCATTAAATTAGTTTTCTGTGGAAAAACCTACATCTTTATGTAAATTAATTAGTTACTAGTTTTGCAGTAGTTAATATACATACAGAAAATTCAGTAGTATATCTGTCAGCAACAGTTTTTTAAGTGCATATTCTACAGCTATGCGCTGTGACAAGAACATTTATTTGTCAAATACAACACATCTTGTCTCAGTACTTGTGGTAGCTATATATTAACAAATGTAAGGGATCTGTATAACTACAGATTGTTTTTAAGTAGTGATTATCAGCCTTAAAAATTCAGTACTGTCTATTAGTCAATTCAAAACAGGTGCATTTCCCCCAAGACATGGCCTTGCATATCTGCAGAGTTGCAGACTTTTTACCTGTGTGAGTTATCGCTTGGCTGCTCTGTAACTGTTGAGGGACTCCTCCACCAGGGGTTCCTGGAGTGCTAGCACTCAACTGACCTTGGATAAAGTTAGGAGTTGGAAAGCCCATGGGGCGCTTTGGCATGCCTGCAATCAGTATTTGTGGATTTTATGTTTTAGACATGAGAATACAACATAATAACTTTAGCATATACTAATTTACAAGAGCAAAAAAAAGTTTTTTGATGTACATTTTAGTCCAACAAGAAAATGTTACCAACATGAACCCACCTGGGTGAACCTGGGCCCCAGGCTGTCCATGCTGGGGTATTCCCATGAATCCTTGTTGCATGTTACTCTGTTGGCTGAGGGAAGCTCTTCCTGGTGAACCAACACCCTGAGGAAAGCCCTGAGGAGTTGTTGGTCTCTGAGCCATCATGGGAGGAGTTCCCGGTGAACCCTGCTGAAAAGGAGATGAGGAGGAACCAGGGGACTTGGCGGTTAGGTTGGCCTGTGGTCCAGAAGCTGGTTGAAGAGGTGGAGGGGGTCTGGGCGGTCCCGCAACACCACCAGGTCCTGCCTGAGGGCCTTTAGGCTGGGGGGCAGCAAACTGACCCATTTGCTGCTGTTGCTGTCCCATGGCACTGAACACCTGACCAGCCTGCTGGCTGCCAAACGGGTAAGGGGGCGGAGGGTGGCTGGGTGTCTGAACTGTAGCAAGTGAGGGTGGGCGTTGAACCATTTGGGCTTGGGGTGGGGGTTTTCTCCATGCAGGGCCTACTTGGGCGGCTTGCTGCTGGAGGACCCCAGAGGGCAACGGGTTCCATCCAGGAGTCATAGCCATCTGGCCTGATGGGTTGAATGGAGGCCTAGGTCCAAGCTGGGAGAGCTGAGCTTGCTGTTGTGGCAGCTGCTGCAATGCAGCAGGGTTGAGTGGTCTCCCACCCTGCAGAACCTGCATGTGATGAGGAGCCTGAGATGCCATGGAGCTTGAGCCATGTGGACCAGCCTGTTGCTGCTGAACTGACATACCTGGCATCATTGGATCCATCACATCTGTGATAGAGAAAGATAGTTTTTTCATTACTGTATTGTTCAAGCTATAAGAAACTCAAAATTATAATATGAATCACTTGAAGTACAGGAAAATCCAACCTGAACGTAGTGCTGGTTCGATAAAAGGAGAACAATAATGATGAATGATAAAAATCTCCATGATAGTGATCATAAACAAATGTGGAATTTTCAATCGATAAATGTGTCGGTTCTGCATCTGAGCAACTCGCTGTACTATCACCCTGTTATACCATAGCACTAGAGTTATCTAGCCAATATGTGTAGGACCAAAACAAGGAAGCGCGCACACACACACACATGCAGTTTATTGGACGACAGTGAGGACAGCTTCATCATTAATGGCATTACATGCATTTATAAATAATTATTAATCAATATGAACGAAATATATTGTGATAATATTGGTGGCCATATCGCCCAGCCCCACCTGAACCTGTCTGTGAAGATGGTCTTGGAGCACGAGGATTCATCTGTCCACTGTTGCCTGGTACCATAGCCTGACTTGTCATGCCAGGCCCAGAAGGAACGATCGAGGGATTAGCCATCCTTATCCCTCCTTATGGAAATAAGTGAATATAAAATCATTATGTGCAAACAAAGAAATAGCTCATACCTATCACATGTCTAAACACAGATAACACACTAAAAATTAATTAATAATTAATGCTTTTTAACAGACTAAGGAAACAAGAACTAAAAAACAAGCAATGCATTCAAATAATTTTGGTCTTTATAGGTTTTTTTTTCCTGTCCTATGGATGCCCATGTGTTAGAAATAAATAAGAGAAAAACATTCAATGTTTGCATATTACCTAATGTACCAAACAAATAAGAGAAAAACATTCAATGTTTACATATTACTCACTGTACCAATACCCAAAAAGCTTTCAAAATCTACCACTACTACCCAAAAATCAAGCATTCAAATGATTTCAGTCTAGCTGGTATATAGTGACCATGTATAACCAGTAAACTGATACCTTGACCAGGTTGACCTGGAAATCCAACATCCATTCTCATCTGGCCAGCTGCTCCAATTGGTCCATTTACTCTGACTTCTTGTCCCCTATTTGGTCCCACAGCCACATTGATGGGTCCTTCCCCTGAAAATCAATAGAGGGGGCATCGATAACACTTGCTCCAAGTGATCCATTTGTGCCCTTTATTTTCAAGTACCGCAGACAAGAAAACATTGTCTCGTGCAACCCTTTTTCAAGGATCAAAGAGTTTGAAGGCTGTGCTATTACCTTCTATCTGCACAGAGAGGATCCCCAGGTCTCTGAGCTGCTGCTGGTTGTTCTGGGCCAACACTCGAAGTCGTTCAGCAGCATCTCTAGGAATGTTGAAGGTAACCCGCACACTGTTCCAAGGCTCCACATGCTGTGGCTGCAGCCTCTCAGAGCCTAAAGGAGGAACATTCAATGAATACAGGTTGCAATTACAGTGTACAGAAGATGGAAAAGAAACCTAGAATTTTTTCAACATACATAACTGTTGCTGAAAATAACAGCACAAACAGAGACATATTTCAAATAGCTAAAAGTAGAACCACAACATAACTGATTTAAGTATTCATCCTATTAACCATGACACACCTGCATAACTTCATTTGCCACTACAGTGCAATCTTTTATTGATCAGTGTCAAAAAAAAAAACTCCTTACACCTATGATTCTATGTTGTAAATAATAAAACCTGAAGAGGACCACGGGGTAAATGCTTCTTTAAGCACTGTACTGACATAGACAGAAAGGCTGGAAGTCTGAAACAAATAAATGTAATAGTAGGTGCTCTACAGTGGCCATTTTGTATACAACTATATTGGGTAGCTCATATTTGTTTGTGTGTGCTTTGAAAAACCTACTGTACTGTTTTTCCAACATAAATAAGAGTTTAAAACAATATTAAAACTAACCCATATCAAGCATGTTTGGTATCCCACTAAGGACAGTGTCAAGTTTTTGTGTGAAGTCCTCATCCTCCATATTCCCTTGAATGGCAACAAATACTGTAAAATCTTGTCCATCCCCGCTGTTTTCTTCTGTGCCATCTTGCTTGCTGACTTTATTCACTGCTGTTGCTGTGCTTCTATGGCAACTGTCAGCATCTTCTCCTGCATCATCCCCAACACACAAGGTCCTGTCAGGGTCATTATCAGTTTCCAGGTGCTTTGTCCTCTGGGACGGCCCATGTGGAGTACGTCCATGTGCCATCCTCCCTTCTTACTAGGAGTGGCGTTTGAACAGTTTTATCCTGAAATTCCACACGAGACAACGATCACTACTAAATCCTAGACATAGTAAAAACTGCTTTATACAGTTAAGTTGGTAAATACACTGTTTCAAGTGACACAAGTATAAAATACCCATTTCTGTAAATCCACAAGATAACCCTATCATAGTAAAGCTAACGTTTACAACACACCTGTACGATAGTGACATCACTATGACTGGTGATGAAGTTGTAATGGCAGATATAGCGTCAAGTGTCTACATAAGGAGAGTATGTGTTCGAGATATCTTACCTGCTGTGTGATTTGCAATAATGTCACATACACTGTAAAATGCGCGACCATTAACGGTGGGTTAACATGGTCGGCCCCACAGTAGAACGGGCCTCAGCGCAAACGTTAAACTCGCCTGGGCGAATATAAATATTCCGTATCCCATGTCATTGCGCATTTCACTGCAGGTATGAACATCATTTAAAACACAAATAAATATGTTTCTAGCAGACACGGCACAATGAAACAGGCTCAGTTTAACGCCAAGGCGGGTCCTGCTGGCTTCACCGAACGCCCCGGTTAGCACTCGCTAGCTACGTTAGCTGGGTAGCACTACAGGTAACGGTAATTCATCGCAAATGCATTCAAACACAATTCATTAGCATCCCTGTTCGTTAGCTTTGACTTCCTATATATCACCAGGAGTAAATTACGCATGAAAAATATAAAAGCCTCACCACATATATTCATCTGAAAATAAGTCAATCAGTCGACATCTGCTAGCCTGATTAGCTAACAAAACATGAAGTCAGAAATTAAGCTAGCAAAACAAAAACTACTTCCGGTAGAGCTTTCCAAAATAAAATCCTAATTGAGGAAGCAGAAGCAACAATTTTTAAGTCAATATTGACGTAAAAATTAAGCAGTTAAAAACCATTACAGTTTCATTTCCTTCAAACATCTTCTTTGCTAAATCAGTGTTTCAATTTAAATGAAATCGTTGATTCCTAGTACCATGTCATTTTAAGTCTAAAGACCTGTTTTCAATTTTCTGAAATGAGATCAAAGTTAAGGGATTTATGTAGTGCTTGAAGCCATGGATCCAACTAAAACACAGACTTTAATTTAATTATTGCATTATCTCTATGCAAATCTATGCAGCGGAATCTTGACTGTTGTGCAGATTCATTGGACATTGGCATTTATTAATAATAGGTAATACATAGGAATTTGTTAAGTACATCAGCTCAGTTGTGTCAGAAGTGGTCATCCAAACTCTCATCACTTACTATGTGGATAGAAAAATAATTCTACCTAGGTCAGATACTCCAAATACACATGTATGGAGAAACCAAGAGACAAACATTTCAGCATTAGGATGCATGAAACATTTAATTTTTGTGTTTGAACAGTGCTCATTTTTATTAAAATGTGATACAAATGCATATGGAATCAAACATCAGATGTTGTGCAAATGTGTGCATTAAGGTATGGTACTCTACTGTATTGGCAACAAGCATCAACAGTCATATTGCACTGGTACCCAACAAGAGAAATAAGTTAAGTTAAGCATGTTTGATCAGTCAGCACCGGCCTTTTCTGGATGTAAATTAAACCATTTGTTGGTTCTTACTTCAAATATACTACCAAGAATAATTACACACAAGTACACAAAAATAAGCATGTATTTTCTCAGATCAGCTGATTGAATGCACTGTGTTACAGCAGTAGACATAATGTATACAGCCCAACAAATCTTCATATAAAACCAGACAGATTACATTCAATCCAACTCTAAAGAATCAGATTATTCCCATTCTAAAAATAAGTATCCCCACTCTAAAAAAAAGCTTTAAATAAGAACATGATCATGCAACAATTTGAATTACTTAAATTATGCATCTAAATTAACTTAATCTGTGATTACTGATATTTATTTTAACAGCAGCAGGTCTACCAAACAATATGTTTTCACAGCTAAACACCATATAAGACAGAACAGTAAATAATGCTGTCCATGTCCAGTTCAGAATAGTCTAGTTAAGGTGTGACAATGCAACTATTAATCAGTGGTTTAAATATTATCCGTGCAGATTCTGAGTCATCCAGGTCATAGAAAAATCAACTGGTCTAGGTTTTTAGGTCGAAGACGTTTCACCTCTCATCCAACAGGCTGAGAGAACTGATGAAGAACTGTGATTTTTTTTGTGTTATCTGGAATAACAGTGAGCTGAAAAACTGCACAGAGGACCATGCACATGTTGTAAATGGTGACTTCATGGTGCGGAATCAGTCATTTTTAATGTCTGCCCATTCTTACAGAGAATCCATTTGTTCGTCATGAATTTACCTCAGAATTCCTGATAACAAATTCACAGTGCAACTCTCTTTTTCACATCCACTGAGTAAATCTACTTTAAACCCCTTAAATTTACTACTTTGTTTAAGTGGCAATGGAATGCATCAGGTGTTAATTTTTTAACACACCTTGCACTTGTACACTGTTCTATAGGCTACAGACTTTGATGCCATTAATGAGATGGACATATTTTCAACACTATCTACCAGTGAGACATGAGGCTGTGATGAGAGGGCATACCACAAACAGTATGAGACAGTCCTTCCTTTGTAGTTTTCTACGCGTCATAAAAATCTGAGGATCACTATCAGTATCCTACAAAGTAATCTCAGAGGAAGCTGGATATCTTGTTGAAGACTGTTTTGTTTTTTTTTCAGACAGACAACAATGCTTGGCTTTTAAATTATATTTGCTGAACTAGTTCATCAGCAGTTTCTTTACTCCCTCAATAATATAATGTGTTACTCTTACTCCATTATGTGTACTGGACAGAAGATGCACTAGGGTATTTTGGACATAATGAGGGCAGAGGCATCAGAACTACGGGGGTCTTTCACTCCAATGATGAGGTCATTGCTTCTCCGGGTTCCCTCCACCAATGAGAGAACATCTATTCTCTCAACTTCGTGACCTTTGGCCTTCAGCAGCTGCACATCTTCATCTAAAAACTCCGCTATACGAGAGAAAGGGACAGTGGGAGACAGAGGATGATCTGAGGTTAGTGGGAAGACTGACCACTAAAAAAATAAATAAATAAGAGTTCCTTTAAACCTGGTATTCAAATGTAATGTTGATTTCTTAAAGGAAGATAACACTCAGCATGAGTTCACATAGCAGGTGTGGCAATCAGACTGTTTTGATTGTGTCTATGAGGACTTTCAGTCACGCAGATAATTGAATATCATGTCTTAAACCATGCACATGTCCAATAGCCTTTGACTTAGTACTTTAAGCTATGATCAGATTATATTTTATATTGCAGTGTATATCATATTTTATTATTCTATATAAACATTTTCAAATGAATTTTGTTTTAAGCAGATCAAGCTGCAGATCAATCTTTTCACATCACTAGAAAGACATAGTATTTTACTATACTATGGTAAACCTCTTACTGTATATACCTACTGCCTTTGTTTCCATGACCATAGAGGCACTTGCTGTTTTCCAACCGACTCATTTCCTAATAACAGGAAACCAACATATTAGGACCAAACTACACAATAGAATGATCAGTTGGAAAAACTCACAGTCAACGAGGAGAGTGTTGGGTTGCAGCTGTGGGTGGAGTCTCCCATATGCCAAACTGTCACTCATATTTTTACGCAAAGACAAAACATTCATCAGCACCTGTGAATAGGCATATATATGTATGAGAGACAGAGCAACATAACATGGGCAGATATTTAATTTAAATTAACAACATTATCAGATCAAAAAGCCATATTACTAAAAATCTAACCGTCAGTTATGAATGTGTTTAATTCTTCCAGTATGTAAATAACCTGTGTAATGCCACTGAGAGTTTTCTCTCCATTAGAAGACCCAACAGCCACGTATGTGCCACATATCCCGATGGCTGGCCTCACTGCTGTGGGCATCAGGAAGGACATGGGCCTCTTCCCAGGCTGGAGGCTGTTGTGCTAGAGCAAACAAGACCAAACACCATCAAAAGATGCTGTAACAAATCTTCAGATGCAAATAAATTAATAATCAATTAAACATAAAAAGGTGCAATTACCGGATTAGGTGATGAGTTCTGTGTTTTATTAGGCCAGGAGAAGTCCAGGATCTGGCTATTCAAAAGGATTCCAGAGGAAGTCACTATCCCACTGCCAAATGGTTTATTAAGAGAGCTACAACAGCCAAACATAAGAAATGGCCTTAGTGGAAATTTTGCAGTAATAAAATTAATCTCTCTTAACAACCACTTAAACAAGCAATGTGCAATAGTAGCCCAGTTAAAACCTGATGTACCTCATGACTGACACAATGTGGTTATCTGGGCCCATGACCATGACCTGAGCAGCTGCTGCACCCTTCTCCAAGGGAAATGATGGAGTGTAGTGAGTGACAGGGAATGCCTGTACGTCACTGATCATATCGCGGAATAGGGAAGCCTGTGATTTACTTGGAGATGGAAACAACAAAGGGCAGTGTTCACTGAGAGGCCTCACTGAATTAGGATGGATATACTATATATATACACTATATACTACACCTATACTATATACTGTATATACACACTATACCTCAGCATCTTGGTGACAGTCTCTGAGACAGAAGTGTCATACACGGGGTCCCCCAGACCACTAGCCAGGCCCAAAGCTATCTTCACAGACTGGAAGAGTAAATACAAAATGAAAACAAATTCCACATAAGTAACTGCACTTAGCACATTATTTATACTGTATACAGGTGAAGCAGCTGATACACTACCTCTGCAATCCAGTGGTAGGTGTTGCTGCTGGGCACCTGGCTGGTAATGTTGTAGCCCTCCAGAATATTGAGAGCAGTGATCAGGGCAACACCTGCGTGTGGGGCTGAGGTTGCCATCACACGATGTCCTTTAGAAACAACAATAAATTGTAAGATCAAAAAATGTAATAGTTTCTGTAGTGTTATGAAGTAATTCTAGTGGCACAATAAAATAGAACAAAGCACAGAAACACTATCAATAACAGTTGAAATGAAGTGTTCCAATTATAATGCAAAGGAAATACAAAATGTTTACAATACAAACATAATATAAAGAACCTACAGGAATGATTAAAAGATACACCTAGCCTAGATGAAACTAGCTCAGTCTAATAAAGCAGTCGTACAATCAGTCTTATGATCATAAAGGTGACAATGTTCAGGTTCTGTTGAAACAGTTTTGTTGATTAAATGGTCACTTTGGAAGGTGTGGTTTGTCCTGCCATTTAACTGTACTGTGTTATACAGAGAGGTGTTTCTGTTATTTAACCTAACCTTCCTGATATCGCTGGGGTGGACACAATAACAGAAACACTTGTCAGTATAACCCACTATAATTCAACAGAACCAAACATCTCTGAAAATGATCATTCAGTTGAATCGGTATGTCTCTAAAACAGTTTCAACAAAAACTGAACTTTATGACCATGAAGATTTATTGAATTCCAACTGCTTGTTGCATTAGACTGCACTAGTTTCAGCTGGGCGTACCTAATAAACGGCCCAGTGAGTGTAAAGCAGATGAGAAAAGAAGGAAAAAGAATATCTGAATACACAGGAAATGTGTCACAGCCATAACATTTGCATTTATGGCTGTGACATGACTGCAGTTGACAGCCCATGGCCAGTGACAGCCCATGCTTATGTAAACAACATATTCAGGTGTGCAGGTGTTACCTTATCAACATGCACGTGTCTTTGGTCATTATTCACTACATGTTTGAAGGAGACACTATACTTACAGGAACACTAGAAAGATTATTCAGGTCAAGCCAAGTTAATGTTATGCTAGTGTATCTCTGATATAAACAATATCTAAACAGGTATTTACCCTGATAGTTGATCTCTGCCGGCTTCTGTAAGACTGTACTGTAGTTTTTAAAGTCATTCTCTGTGAGGACTCCACCCCTTGCTTGTACCTAGTAAAAATGCATAGTATGTTTCAGTTTAAAGTTCATGAGTCATCTGATTTCTACTACTTTAATAAATGCCTTCATAGGCTAATAATTCCCAAAAAAACTAGGTGCCTTATAAAAGAAATTTGCAGTGTTCCTCTGAAAACTGAGTGAATGTCACAGGCTGGTATAACATAGATTTCTCCTCATTTATGTCCTGTTTGCATCCCATACACACCTCATGTGAAACCTGACATAACAGTGTGTCACTTAGGGTTTTCATTGAAATCAAGTCAAATTTTAATGCAGCAGCCCCACAATGAATGATATTTGTGAAATTTAAAAGATTAGTGTTTGAGGGATAAAAGTGACTACCCATGGAGACTATGCAGAATTCATGACTACTTATATAATCATAGCTGGAGATGGGGGAAATAATTCTTCCTTACTGCTGCTGCCATCTCCTGCGTCAGATTTCCACTGTAGAACTCCGATATCCCCTTAACTGCGATAGCATCCAATATGGATGCCAAATCAAGACGTCTGGTGAACAATCCAGACAGAGGAGCCTGGCCCTTGGGGAGGAACAAATTCCGAAATGCATCGGACATGTTTTGGTCCTTAACTTTAGCCAGAGCGTCGGCTAGGGAGAGACAGGAAAATAAGATGAGCTCATTTATATCACTTCACTTCATGTTGTTCAGGACCACCACTGGGACCGGGAGATAATACTGGTGTGGTTTCCATCGCAGCAGCAGTGACATTAGTGAGAGTCACTTCACTCAGTGATTTGTACTATATTAGACTATACTTACCTAAGTCATGAGTAACATTAAATCCATTTCTGGCCACATCTGCTGCCATGGTAACCACATCCTTCCATGGCAACCTGTGGGAAACAAAGACCATGTAAATCTGGTTTGGTTTACAAATGTATTAATGCACTCCGAACTCCCTAATTATTATTATTCTGCCAAATTGATAACCCACAAAAGATCTAGCATAAAATTCATCATGCATCATTTATATCACTTCACTTCATCTTATTAGCAGTTGAGGCATCAGGACCATGATAATTACACTGTATCAGAGTAATTACAAGCCAACATTCTTTTAGAACAGCTGGTGACACTTTGCAATTTCACTGCTTTAGTTCTGACCACTGAAACAAACACAGGTTTTGTCTCAGAGAGGACCTAAATATCAGATTTTGCTATTCTTTTATTCATAAAGGGCATGTGAAACACAGGCTCACCAAGTGAAGCAAACAGTGATAGAGCATGATAGAATGCAGAAGACCTAGAAGCCAGTGCAAAGACTGCAATTACTGACAGCATGAAGAAAGGCTTAACTAATAATAGTTACCATACCTGCCATAGAGCTCATGTGCCTGATGCATCCCACTGAGCATGCCCGGTACACCCACCAGCAGACCTGGCTGAAATACAACACCATGTTAACAGGACAAAACAATCAGATTGTCTTCTGCTTACTTTGTAAACTCTAAGAGGTATAAAAAAAGAGTAGTCATACATTAAGATTAAGGTTTGTCAGCATCATATCTCCATGGATGGCAGATGGTGCAGTCTCTCTGAAGTCGATGATCCTCGTCTCATTCTTACGGATGTCATGCACCAACATAACTCCGCCACTTAATTAAATAAACAGAGCATTAAGTTGGATCTTTTTTGCATCCAGCCAAGTCTAAGAACCTGAGTGGTAATCCTGTTTAGATTAGATGTTTTACTGTAACGCACCCTCCTATACCAGAGGTATGAGGGTGGATAATTCCCAAACACAGGGCAGCAGTGATGGCAGCATCAACACTGGACCCCAGTTTTCCCAGAACATCAAAGCCAAGAGTTGTACACCGAGCCACATCTGTCACCACCGCTCCTTGATTAAAGACCTTGCAATGAATGGAAGAACAAAGACTGAAGGGAGAGACTGTTCATGTGTCACTGGGCTTGGGCTTGTGTGGGAGGAAGCATCTGAAAACATCCGTAATCCCAAATCCCAACATGGTTAACATGCACACACCCATACCTGCGGGTCTCCAAAGTAGATCTGCATGATGAGAGCAACAGTGACTCCTGTGGCGAATGTTAGACAGGCTGTGATAATGACTGTCAGTCCATCTCGCTGGCAAGCACAGCCTTGTGCAATGGGGTCTGTTGTGGTCTCCCGCAGGGAATCATCATCATGGCTGGCCAAGTCAGAGGCTGAGGACGGGAGACGCTGGAGGCGAGCCGACTTCAAAAATATATCTGGATCTGGGACATGCAGCACAAACCAAACAGCTTAAACTAAACAAACAAGAGCAGTACAACATGTATAATATACATCATATGATCTGCTATCATGAGCTGTGAAAGCAAACAACAAATGGAGATGTGACTAAAAATGCCACTTAATTAATCTATGTCCATATCCAGAATCCTAAACACGCTTTTCTAAAGGCTTTGTGAAAGCTATATATTTAATAGAATAGCATCTGACCTGTATCTTGCTCACTCAGGACGTTGTCATCTTCTTTGCGAGATTTAAGGGTGTTTTCCCCAGACGTCACATCATCCTCTGGCAACCTGGGGAAACTAGTGATGCTCATGTAGTCCACCGGAGAGTAGGCACTCCCCAAGGTTGTCTCCAGATTTGCGTCTTTATCTGCCATATATCCACTTGGGTTCCCTGCCACAACTTCAGACGTAGGACTGTACATGACTGCTGCTGATCAGGCAGTCACACTGTTAACCTGTCTTTATTTTTAGGGTGTGAGGGAGTTACTGTAAGATGGCCATATCTCCAGTTACATCTGTTGTTTCTGGAATGACCAAGCACACACCTCCTACTGTCATCCAGACGAAAAAACCACTATAATATACGTTTATGAACCACTAGAGTTGCTATGCGCTTTCACATTATTCGGCCATTCACCCATTCGCACTGCCAAGCACTCACGCATTCACACACCGGTGACCGGGAGCAACTCGGGGTTCAGAATATATTTTTGATAGGCCAAGACAAAGCTGTGTAGCTCCGATGATGTTGCATTTTTCCAGCCACCTGCAGAGAACGACAAACCTTACACATCAACCAGTTTAACTTCGAGATGCATTTGTCTCTCCTTCATACACACGCTAATTAAATTATTATAGGAATTGCCCTAGGCAAACAGACTACATAGAGCAAATGCTGAGATGCGACAAGATGTCTGCCTGTTTAGCTATGCCGCAGAAAGGTGTTAAACTATATCATTAGTTATTTTTTTAAAACAACAACATTATTACCGTTTAAAACAACCAGAGAGCCGCCGAGCTGCTGCTGCTGCTATTTGCGTGTCCCATTTTAATTCACCGCGCTCTCACAAGCTAACTCTTCTTTCTCATAAATCTGTACAAACGTGGCTACAAAAGGCTCAAACCATCTTAATGTTTGCTTACCGTAGTCCTAAAATACGTGTGTGATCAAATACAAATCATCCACGACGGTGTTAGTCTGGATTTTACAGACAAACAGGCAGGTGAGTGCAGCTCTCCGTCACCACCAAAACCACAACAACACAGGGAAGTCGGCTTCACATTACAGGTCGGAACAACCCGTAAAACCCAAGTTGTCCGACCGGCGAAACTGGTAGCTACATTATACACATATTTTTTGAATACGTCTTACCTGAATACCAAGGGCAACACGGAATGATTTTTATCATTATAATTTATATGGAAACATTGTTAAACCATGTACATTCACAAAGGAAATAATTACAGGACGTGTTGCCGGCTTGGTGCCAATATAAGACGTACTTCACGATACATGGCGTTGGAGCCATAAAGATAAATCTTATTTCCTCTACTAGTGACCAAATCCCTTTTAAACAGAGAAGCTTTGAGCCATTCCCCCACCCCCACCACCACTACCACTACCAATACCCCCACTATTATAGTAGTAGTCAATTGAAAAACCTCCCTTAAAAACTGGTTAAGCAGGTTATAGCAGAATGTTCCAATGTTCCAGCAGTCCCTTCATGGCCGAATTATCCTGGGAGGAACCCAGGCCAAAAAAGCTTGATGGTCTCCTCTTGACCCACATTAACAGAAAAGTATTTGACCAGAATTTTGATATTCCCTCCATCCTGTAAGTTACCTTTTAAGGAAAAATGCCCAAAAAATCACAAGATGAGGTTTTCTGTGTTGCTGTAATTACTTGAAACACAGAAAGAAAGTAGTTTGCTAAAACAAACTTTCAAACTAACAAGCACAATATAAAATAAAACAGCTGAAATCTTAAAAGTAGATTTAGACAGAGTGTTTCTAAGACTTGGCACAAGATGGAGATTTGTGCTTTAGTTGTGCAAATTTTTAACAAATCTGTGAATAATCAAATTATGTAAACACACGTGGCATACAGTGTACCTGTGCTCTGGAGGCCTCTAGGCAGTTGTTTGCTTTGTCTGTTTGGTAAATCCAGCCCTTCCATAAGTCATGTTTTTTTTCTTATTCCTCCTCGTGGTTAAATAGGTGCAGAAGACCATATGCTCAGCTGAACATATACAATATCCGTGATCTTTCAATGGGAAATTATCCACGTAAAGGTCAGAGGTCAACTACAGGAGACTCAGCATCTTCCTCAGCACACCACTGAGGCTTGAGCACTCTGCTTATCCTTCCGTGTATACATTATATTTTGTGTTCTTATACAACAACCTAAGTCGTTTTTTTTAATCATAGCAGCACACCCATATTTAGCCTACAGACTATATACACACTGCGTTACCACACTCATCTAATCACCTCTTCCTTGTTTGACTTCCATCTGCACGTCACTGGTGGAGTGTTACAAGGAATATATACTCAGGCATACTCAGGTACTGTACAAATGAACAATTTTATGCTTTACTTTTGTATTTCCATTTTATGATCATTTATATTTATATGACATTATTTAAGATTTCTTAATCACGTGTTTTATTAGTTTCCTCTTCCCCAATGATATTAAAATGCTTCTTACATATTATTATTACATCAGTACTATCCATCTCAGGACCCAACCCCAGCTGACTTTGGGTGAGAGGCAGGGTACATCCTGGACAGGTCACCAGTGTATCACAGGGATGACATGTAAATAAACAACCACACACACTCACACTCACTCCTATGGGCTGTTGAGTCACCAATCAACCTAAGCTGTATGTCTTTGGACTGTGGGAGGAAGTATTAGTACCTGGAGAGAACCCATGCAGGCAAAGGGAGAACATGCAAACTCCACACAGAAAGGCCCTGGGTCAGTCGGGGCTCAAACTCGGAACCTTCTTGATGTGAAGCGACAGCACTAACTTTGTCAGAAATACATATGTATTAAAAACACTAATGAGGAACATTCTGCTCTGAGTACCTTCACTTTTGATACTGTAATTACATTTTGTTGATAGTACTTCTTTGACTTTACTTATGTCCAGTTTTAATGCATTTCTTTTAGTGAAGTGTTTTGACATCATGGTTTTGCTGCTTATGCTTAAGTAAATTATCAGAATATTTATAGACCACACTCTGCTCTAATCCCATTTCCTTCTGTCCTTGCACATAAAAATTTCACACATGACACAAGATTCAGGTGTTAGCCTGAGCATTTATTGTCGTTGTTGTTGTTGTTGTTGTTGTTGTTATTGAATTTTATGGGTACCTGTGTTTTCTGAATGGGTGCTGGAAAACCCATCCATTGACTTTTGCATAGGTCTTGCCTGTCAGTGGAAAACTGCCCACTTTGGGAAATTGAAAAATCAGTACATCACAAAAACCATGCAGACATAGTGAAAGGCACAATCACCATAGATATCAGATACACCAAATTTTATATGTCTATATATTTCATTTTTCTGGGGGAGGGGTGTACTAACTGAGATGTAATATGGGAAACCCCCAAGTGTTTATAAGCTGCCATTGTTTCTAGGGCACAACATAAAACATATGAAACTCTCCGGACATTCGACTTTTCATTTAAAACATTGCATTGGTGAACAACTGTTCTAAAATATGGGAAAATACAAGCATATTCTATTGTATTTTTATTATATATTTATTTTTTAATATATAAACATTTTGTCTCCTGCCTCATCCTTTCCATGTCCACATCCCTCACCTCATACAGGTTCAACATACTGGGTGACCATTCCCTCTGCCTGTTATTGGAGGACTTTCACTCTTAAAGCCCACCTTTAAATAATCATACACAACATAATGAGCACACTTTTCTCTTTACATGACACTGGTGAGAAAAGGAAAAAAATAAAAACTGAGAAAAACACAATAGGTTTGTTGTGGCAGAGATGTATCTGTGGTGGGTGATCTTTACATTCAGTACACACATCCAGCTGTGATCGCTCATTATTACTTTGTTTTTACTGTGTATGAACTTTTTTCTTTTATAACAACAGGCAAAGACCCTATGAGGCAGCTTAACTATCGGCGAGAGCAATGTGTGTGTGTGTGTGTGTAGGTTACAGTGATAACCTCAGATCCATCTCCTGAACTGTTTGAGGAAATAACTGCATACATAAGAGGCATCTTTAAAAAAAAGATAAAATGTATAATTTCATTATAAATTAATAGCTATTTTGGGATTACTGGCAGAAATAAAACCTTTGTGGTGTGTGATTCAAGGAAAAAATAATTTATCTTACTCAGCTAAATGATTAAAATAAGACATTGCCATTTTTCAAACAAACAGAATCTCCAGACTCTCATTCTGTCCTTTAAACACACCAGTATAGACTGTTTTAAAACCGTGTCATTGTCATGTGTCCTTGCCAGCATCCATACAGCAAGTGCTGTGCTAAGTGAACCCTCTGGAGGGCAATGTTTGCCTATGGCACATAAACTGTGAGTCTAGTGCTGCTTGTATGGTGCATGCCATCACGATGGGACTGGAGGTGGGGCAAAGACACCACTTTTGGCCACTGAAACGCCCTCTTGGTTTGATACTGAACACAGAGGTGAGGCAGAGAAGGTTCTCATCAGTCCCACTGAGCACAAGGTTGGACTCAAGTCCTGAGAGGCTTTGACATCTAAGCATCATAAATGGTTTTGTAATATTTACAAGGGAGATTAATGAACATCGTAAGTGTTTTTTTTTTTAAGAGTTTCTATCATTTAACTCGTCAGTACATCTTCTCACACACAGGTTGAATCAAAACAAAAATAAAAGAATAAAATCACAAAAGAAAAAAGCACACAGCACACAGCTAAAACTTTGACTCACAAAATGTATGACAGTGCAAACTTACACCCATGTTTCAAATATTTTACAAATGTTAGTATACACGTCAGCACCATTGGTTACTATTGTTGTAGAATACATATCAGTAAGCTAGATGTTTAAGTGGAAACAGTTGGAGCTGGATGTACTAATGAGAAAGGGACAAACAGTAATGGAGTAGATGTTAGCTGCATGTCCATAAGCAAGGTGATGAGCTTTTGAATGAGACTTTAATGGGACATTTATTTTGCTCATTTTTTCCTTAAGAACTGCCTCCTGGACAGTCGATGACTTTTCTTAACGAAAGAGACTGATGTGTAAATAGACAGTACTTCATGATCACATGGATAACATAAGATCACAGCACACACCGTGGATGAGCATGGCTGGTGTGTGCTGGGCACATTACTTTAGTTTAAAGACCACACATTTAATGATCATAATGCTGCGTGTGATCCGCAAGGGAGTGAATTTGAATTTGTTGTCTTTAAGAGATGAATGTGTACTTTCTCTGTCTGGTAGGAACTTCTCTTCCTTTGGTGGAACCTCACTGAGACAGATTGTAAAATAATTGAAAATGTACAAGACTAAAGCGCAGAAAACAATATAACAAAACAAAATAAAGAGTTACCATCAATACATCACTTTTCACATACTATAACCTGCCATACCCTGTAACCCAAGAGCAAGCCTTGCATTGTTTCAATGCATTTATAACCCTTCTCAATAATGACTTTGTGGCTGCCACAAACCCTTTTTATATTTGTATTATCCAGAAAAACCGTTTGGATATGCAAAATAAGAGTCATCTTCTAGATGGTCTTCAGTAAAAGTTTTGAAAACTCACAGGCTGCTCAGAGGGTTACATAACACTTTCCTATGACCATTTCATATTGACCACATTAATTTTAAAACATCTAGTTCTAATTCATCATGAGGTCTCTTTTACTCTTTAGTCTGTTTTGCTCATGCACTCACCATCTTCTACTTGCTCTCAACCTTTCCAGAGAGAGAAAAGAGGAATGTCACATTTGTTTTTCTAAGGTGAAACGTGTTGCCCCATGTTTCCTCGCCTTTGTCCTTTACTTTGCATGTTAGCAAACCAACCTGGAGAAAAACAAATGTCTGGTGATTTTCCTCTCACTCTTGTTCCACACAACATATCCTTCCACCTTGTCTGAACAAAAATAAAATTAGATTTAGATGGAACCCCCTTAATATAATACATGTTGAAGACATGATGAGTTGTTTTCGCCATAAAGATGCTAATGCTTCTCTGCCTTGCACTGTTTCCACCAGAAGAGTCTGTTCCTTCAGTCAGAGTACACTTGGTTGTTTAAATTTCAAATCACTATCTCCAAATGTTATTTAATTTAAAGATATTGGGGATTTAATGGTTGAACTGAAAAACAAAAACATGGATTTAGGAAGAATGAAACATAAGAATACTTTACTAAAACAGATAAGAAAATTACTAAAGCTAATTTTTCTTCAGACATTATAGTTACTATAACGTGTAAATATTTTGAAGACTTTTTTTTGTTGTTTTGATACTGCAGTGAACAGTAACTATAATAAAGGTCTATAAACATCTACTCAGAGGGCTTTTGGGATCCATAAAACTACCATGTGGACTCAGTTTGTGTCTATACCCAAACAAAAAAACTACTGGTATCTGAGCATAATGCGTTATAATGTGAAAAAATGAAAGCAAATATGCTGTGGGTGAATGTTTTTACTTGTGTGTGTCTAATGCCCTCAGAGTGAACAGTGCCCCCTGGTTGCTGGGGAGTTTAGTGGCAGAGGTTGCGCTTGCTGGGCTGGTGAAGGAAGGTGTTTCTGGCATGGGCTGCATGGCGAGGGACCTGCTCTCTAGTGCGATTTTGGCGTTGGATGCGGTTGCGGCCCAGATTGCGCCTCTCGATGCGGGCTTTGCTACGCTGGACCCTGGCCACTTGGGTGACCTTGGCCAGAGCACCAGCCTGGGCAGCAGCTCCATGGCTCGCCCTGGTGGGCATAATGTTGTGAGTGGCTGGGACAGTGGCTGGATCAGACACTCTGCTGCGGGGAGGGAGAGAAAAGACCAAGGTGGGATTGTTGTGTTGTTGTGGTCGTGCTGATGCTGAAAAAGAAGGTGAGATGAAGTGTGGCTAGTGTTAGCAGTGCTATCTTACCTCATGCTGCTTGCCAGGCTCACAATACTTTCTTCTCCTACCACAGACAAATTGCTGTTGGAGACCATGGACAAGTTGCTTGGGGAGACGTACACAGACATGCTAGGGTGCTCGATGAGCAGATCCTCCATTGGGCTGGCCTCTGCTGTGGCTCCCTCTGCAGTGAAACAGGGGGGAGGGGTGACAAACCAGCTCTCATCCATGCAGCCTCTCTCTGAGCCTGCCCTACTGCTACCCCCACTACCCCCACACTCACTCCCAGAGCCAGGAGACATTGATGGGGTGGAGGATGGCGTGGACAGTCCGACCCGCCTTGGCAGGGTCACGGGTGTAGTGGCACCTAAACCTGATGGGCTAGTGCTGGGACAAGACAGGGTGTTGGATGATGCCATAGCACCATGTGTCCGACCTTTATGTGTCCTACGGCGCTTGTGAGGCAAGCGGGGAATGGGGGCCAGGCATTCAGTCCTTGTATGAGTGTCTTGATGCCTTGATAGGTCATTGTCTGGGAATGATTGTGCAGTCAGTGGGGCTCCCGTCTCATCCTCTGCCTGCATCATGCAGTCAGACTCTTCTGAGCATATGGCAGTGATGAGATCAGGCACGAGGCGGCCAATTAAGACGGGGTGGTTGCAAAAATTATGCAGATGTGATAGATTTTCAAAAAGTCAAGTGGGTTGAAGGGGGAAAATTTAAAGGATCACATACGCACGCGCACGCATACCAGTGTGGGGAATGTAAGGTATTTAAAAAAATTGGAGGAGGGGAAGAAGAGGGGGTAAAGAAACACAAAACATAAAAGAGTCATAGCATTAGTTGAATTGACCCTCTAAGGCTGTGATTATGATAGTGGCATACTGTTTGTCTTGACTATATATGGCATTTGGTGTTTGGCTGGCTTCTGAAAGCAAATTTTTAGTAATTACCTTTGTCATGATTGAGATCATAAACAAAGAGAAAGGAAAGGTGTGTTCGCAGCAAAATGTGTTTCCATCTTCTGAAGGGTAACACCTTTGCTATGGGAGCCATACAGGTGAGCAACAATGTGGTTGTGCAACGGACCGACTGATTCTTCACCCCACCCAATCATCCCCATAATTAGTTTTACAATTTAGGCATGCAATAGATAACAGAGGTCTTTCTCAGCTACACAAGTCTTTGAAAATAATACAATCTGACTGTTTTCCAGGTTGGTGTGGCCTTTAAATGCCACAACAGCCCTTCCATTCCAACCCTGTGCTCCTCTGATTGATACTCACCTGGAAGATTGACGAGCATCCACCCCTCCTCGTCAGCCTCCATCACATAGGGGTTGGATCCCTTCAGCTCAGCTGCCACCTCTTCTACCTCCCCAAACAACAGGTTGCTCAGATGTTGAAACATGACTGCTTGTATTGTCAGAAGATGATTTGGGTGCTTTTTTTGTCTACAAGGAAAAAAAAACTGTAGCTGCCTTTTTGAATGTCTTGTTTGTATTTATGTATCACTTGTTGCTGTTTTATGCAATTCCTTTGTGTGATTTTTTTAAAAGCCTCTTTTATTTTTATTATTTTTAACTTGAAGCCCTTTGCTGTAACTCGGATTTGACATACAGGAGTGGACAGGCTTCTTTAGTGCAAATGTAAGGTTTCACTTGGTTTGGAGCAAAGGCCTGGAGAGAGAGAAAGACAGAAGGAAGAGGATGGTTAGATAAGATAGGGTGTGTCACATTTTCTTTAAAAAACTCTTCTAAAAAAAGAGAAGACACTTATTGCATTAATTTCCTACTGCTTTAAAACAGAGTAGATAGATAAGCAGAGTGAGTAAGAAATGTGTATTGTGAGAGCTTACTCAGAACTATTTCAAGACACATTACAACAAGCTGGAACTTTTTTGGACTCAAACCTCAAAGCATCTGATGTGTTGTAATGACCAGTTGACCCAAATAATGTGTCATTAAAAACTGAATCAGTTTATTTTTATGTTTCCACACTAACAGTGATGGATATTAACCATATTTCATTAGCTAGAAATCTTAAGATCAGCAGGGACGAAGCATCAAATTCCCCAGTTTTATTCAATCACAGAGGGAATGTGTTTTATTATTAATTTTATATATTCTTGCTATTAACACTAACAAATTAAAAACTTGGGGGTGGTGCAACAAACTGTAAATATTTTCACATTATAAATGTCATATGGTGAACATGTTAGCATGCTGTTGTCACATTATCATTTACTTAGAGTGATGTTTCTGGCCAAATACTGTAAGGAGCTGGTGGATGATGGCCGCACTCCCCTCCCCCATAAAATTTAGATAACCAATCAGCATAGTCTCAGGACAGATGGACAGCCCAGAGAAGAAGAGGAGGAGGAGGAGGTGAAGGGAGGTGAGACAAACACAAAGAGAGTGTGCACAATATAAGGACAGAAGGTACTGAGGCAAAGGACAATGCCTGACCTAAAAGTGAACATAATGTAATGGACAACAGATGTTTGAACAGCCATAGCTTACAAGACAAACCTTTACATGTTCAAAAGCTGTTTATATTTACTTAAAATGTGTGAGTGTGCAAGATGGGATGGCTGAAGAGATCCCAGAGTGCAAACCAATCAGCAACTTGCTGACACACTCAACAACAGCCTATTTCTTGATTTCTGGGTTCAACAGGCTTCTCCTCACATTTATATTTTTATATTCATTAATTTGTATAAGATTTTCAAACTTGCAGAGGTTTATACAATAATAATAATCACCTGTTTCAGTCCAGGATCTGTTTAACCGACAACCTGATTTGTCCCAAAATGGTTTTATGTTTTAATGTTAAACTATTTCATTAAATAAATGAGCAGATCAAAAAATAACAGGGGTTAGTAGTGAAGGAGCAATGATCAAAAGTTTAATAAAGTGCATGAGACTGACATTTATTATACAGAGAAAGGTGACATGGAACAAAGACGGAGATATGCATGGATGCTTTTTAGGAAGCTGACACTTTGTCCTTATTTGGACAATCACCATGGTGACCAGGATTATAATGGGAAGAAACATCTTAATTACAACCATACAGCAAAAGCTCTTGAGATTTTGTATGTCAGATGGAATAGTCATCATTTTAACTGTATTGAATTACATGAATTTGTTTGCATGGGTGTATGCTTGAAATAACATGAGAAAGTTAGCAGGCTGCTATCCAGGAAATATTCTGCTATCCTGGGAAGCAGGCTGTCAGCTGAATTTTTTAATACTTTGAGTTGTATGAATTCATTCTGACTCACTTTTCTTTTCATGTTCAGGTCAAAATCTGTCCCGTTAATTGGGCTAAATAAAATGATTCATCATTTTGCTGAGAAAATTCAAGATGTTACAACAAACTGAAGTGCAGTTTTGAATGTATTCCTGGACTAAGAAACCTAAATCGTGACACCATGGCAAACAAATCCAGAAAAACAATATTTTCACGAGAAAGTCTGAAGTTTGCTTCGCATAAGTAGCAGTAGACATCTAAAAAACACACTCACTCAGCATGGGCTACATTCAACATTTCCCTGATACCATTTTTTAAAATTAGTTTGGTGCCTCTACAAGCCAATTAAAGGTTATCTAGAGCTGGTGTAAATATAGCTACTGATACTGCTAACAGAGCACAAATGACTCTGATATGCTCATATACACAGTGAGGAAAGAGTTTCTGAATATATGGCATATATAAGCACTGTCAAACAAGTCCCATAAAATAAATGATAAATGTCTTTTGAAGTAAAATCTATTTCAAGGAAGGGAGCAGAGGAATAAATGTAGGGCATTTAGCCTAACCTTGTAATCAAGATCACATTGCTATGATACAGCCAATAGGTTTGGCTGTCTTAACCTCCTATTCATCCTTCGTACATGTTGCAGATACCCATTATGTGTATAGAACTACTTTATTCTTTATTTGCTTATTAATGAGCATGAGAGGCCTTATTTTGTACGTTTATTAAAATGTGACACTGTAATATTTTAATATGTAAGATTTTCTAGACACACTGTACACAGGAAATATAAAAAGATTGAATTATCTATATTTTAACAATGGTCTTTAAAAAATAAAAAGTGGGGCGGGCAGAGCGGGATGGGAGGGACTCACAGAATAAAAACAAGACGCCTGTGACGTCACACAGACGTCACTGACGCTGCCCCAAAGTCTCCAGTCTATTTGGCGACCGGAGGAAAATAAACGGTCTGCACAGCAAATATAACCTAAATATAAGGTATTATGACAGTGTGTATGCAATCCATTTAGGCTGTCATGTCTATACTGTATATTGCGACACTAAACCGAAATCGATTGATCGATATCTGAGTGGTGGCTACTGTCGACGGCTGAAACCCAGTGACATTATGAAAAAAGCTACTCACAGCAACATTGTTTAGCCTACATTTCGCATACAAAAAAACCTGGGCTGGTATAGCAAAATAAAACACCGAGCTCAGACTGTCCACAGCTGAGAGACAACGCTTTCTGAATCCGGGTCAAACATTAATTATCCAAATAGTCTAAGCTTTACAGCTGAAGGGTCAAAGCAATGACAGCAGCGGCTCTGCACGAAAGCCATCGAACGGACAGGCTCCTGACAATGAAACTGGAATTTCACCAAATAACATAGTCGACTCTGTTTGTCAAAAGACTTTAACCTATAAGATCCGCCTCACAGAAAGCTACCAACATCCGCCATCGACTGGACTCCACATCAGCATTTGGTGCAATTTACAAAACAACGGCTGAGGCGTCCTGTAGGATGTAGCTCACAAAAATACAGGCTGGTGTCATTTTTCCTTTGGTTTGGGGCGCTGTACTTGCTTTCTCATCTATTCGTGTCCTAATAATAGGCCTAGGTCATTGCCAGTTATAACGCACGGCTGTCGAAGGTATCCTGTGCAATGAGTCGGTGACAGACAAAGCAATTCTGTAATTCTGTTAATACATCCATTATGATGGCTGATGGCTGCTGATATCTTTATGTAAATAAGCAGGGGAGTGCAGCAGCCTCGCCGGCAAAGACAGATGCAGTTTGATATTGATACTTCTTGAGAGAACATTGCTTGACACAACCCACACCAAGAAAGCAAATTAAGGAATAGCTTACCTGCCTTTGCAAAATTATTCAAGTTGTAAACTCGATCTCACACACAGTAGAAATGACAACAATTCTTAAAGCATAGCTTTAGATAGCCTTAAAGTGAGGTAGTTAAAACACCATTATACAAAAATAAAAGGCTTTCTTCTTAGAAGAAGGGCTTCGTGTAAAATATTACACCGATGTTTTTAGATCATAACATTTGCAGCTTTTCCCTCCTCTCCTCAGTTTTTCCTCCTGTTTATTGCTGCCTCCAGCTGATCCTGGGATCAGAATGTAGAACGTACAAAACAGCTGATTGTGAGATCACTAAACTCTCGGCCACGCCCCTTGCTCCCTCCCACACCAAACAAACCAGCCAATCGGAATTTTACACAAGCACAAGCCTGGCCTCTTGGTAACAGGTAGGGGCTGGGCGAGTGGAGCTGTCAACCTGCAACCAGATGGAAATGGTGAACTTACTCAGAGACTGATCTGCGACCAGCTTCTAAATTCACATCGGTGCCGTTTGAAGCCAGGACCGGGGGATGGTAAACTGATCCTCAGTCTGTGCCCACATAAGTCCAAAGACTAAACCTTCTATGGCAAAGAGCAAAGAAAGATGAACATCTGTTGACAGCGAAGTGATTAAATTGTCAACCTGGAGCTTTATTAAATAAATTCACAAGAATAATGAGGAGCGCAGAGCGGAAGCTGCTACAGCTAACCTGTTATATCACCAAGTGAACTGACTTTTCTGTTGTAGCCATATTATATTGTATACTACACTATATTATATTTTGTGGACTTAAAAAAAAAAAAAATTACATTATATTCATTTTAATTTTCATTTGAAATCAGGTGCTGAAGAGTAACCTAATCTTTAAGTTAGGAAATTGATTATATGTGCTACTGAAACAGGAGCCTGATGCCAACCTTTAATGTTCAAATTGTAAACTAGTCCTTCTACAAAAGCAGTGATTTTGTTTGATAGTTCTTTTAATTTCATGTGTAAAAAATCTTTCCCCTCCCTTTCAATGTCCATCTTCACTCCTCCACATGCCACTCAACATCCACCAACCAATCAGATGTGCCTTTTTTCCGATTGCAGCATTTGAGTATCCAATGGGCCTTTTAAAGGTCTTGAAAACCCCTGGTGGTCACTGCTACACTCTGCAGTCTGTAAGGCTTAGAGAGTACCCACTGCCTCTTGTAAGCAGATTGTGCTGATGACTGAAGATGTGCATTCTTGCATGTGTATCACACTACGTGAAAAGTCTTCCCATGTTGTGTTTTATGAAGTATTACACATATTTTTCAGGAGCATTGTAGCTTTCACAGCTTGATTGTGCTGGGTTGGTGCATGCTTATGTGTACATAGGAACACACTGCATTATTTAAAGCCTAATTATCAACAAAGTCATTCCACAGCTGCTGGTTTTCAGGATCTTTGATTTTCACTAGTCTGCACAGACCTGCTCAGGTAACCTGCACAGGTCGTACTGTATCGTATGATGGTTTAGGATTCCAATGTCCTCTCTGCCAAATGATGCTCAACCCAGTAGGAGCCTTTGTGACACTCATATTTGATTTTTACACCTGGAATTACATCAGAATTTAGAGTAATATAATGAAAGGTATTTGTATGTTGTGAAAATACATCTCATAATAAAGCTTGGATTATTGTGTTGTATACCATGAAGTTTTTTAATGATTATATTAAGTAAAATACTTTATGCTACCTGGAACTTTCATTAAATCACAGCTAACTGGGATTAACAGAGGCTCTAGATGTGCAGCATATTACTGTGAACATGAAATTGTTTTGTTCACAATGATGCATTGTACTCATGTACTTATGTGCACAAGAATAAGGAGACCTAGTTGTGTAACTGTGCCTTGAGTGCAAATTGGAAATAAATGAACTGCATCTAACAGGGTTGTGTCTCCTGGTGCCTGTGTCTCATACAGATTTACAGTGGTAAGCTACTTTTTCTGCCGGGCTTTGTCCTGTTATTACCACTCTGGTGAGGGATAATAGCAAGAGTCCAGCACAGTATGAACTTTCTAAAGGCAGGATGATAAAGTTTCCTCCTATACAGTTACCAGGTGCTAGGCAACACACACATATACACATGCACACTCATTCACCCTGTAGTGATGGAAGGTGGAAGGTAACTAAGTACTTTTAGTATTGTACTTCAGTGCAAATCTGTACTTTACTTGAGTATTTTCATTTTCTGCTATTCATACTTTGACTTCACTACATTTATTTTTATAATTTTAGTTACTAGTTACTTTTCAGAACCAGATTAATACAAAAATACAGTATAATTACAAGACCTCATTGATATATGGAGCAAATTTCACAAACTCCCCAGCAATAATTCAAATTAAATGCATTTAAGCTAGTTAAAACTAGCCCCCCTTTACCAGCTACAACATTAAATGTGATGTACAATACTACACCAGTAATTATAATACAATAATATGATATACATGTGAAATGTGCCATTCTGCATGATGACTACTTTTTGTACTTTAAGTATGTTTTGATGCTAATACTTTTGTATTTTTACTTCAGTAACTTTTTAAATACAGGGCTTTTTCTTGTAACAGAGTATTTTTACACTGTTGTATTGCTACTTTCACTTAAGTAAAGGATCTGAGTACTTCTTCCATCACTGGTGTTGATGATATCCAAACCTGCAGTAACACAGTGAACACAAACATTTTGCAAGAACAGTTTGTGCATCTGTGCTTGTGTTAATGTCTGTTCTCCAACTAATCAGAAGAAGTCAGAGGCCTGACAGGACTAGTTGTGTCATGTCACTGTAGCACATGTTGCCATATCACTTACTAATCATGAACAATATATACAATTCAAGCTATTGTTAGTAATTATCCTTTAATAAAGGATGTGGTCACAGCCTTGTCAATCTCAAATAAATGAGACTTGAGCATACTACTCAGGGACACAGAAAGATTAGAGGTTATGATTTTCTATTGTCTGCTTCTTTTCTTCTATTCTTTAATCCATGTCAGAGCTTTCAGTGACATTGCCTGACTTCACAGGATGCCCACTGTACTCCAAGCTGGCTGGAGAAATAGGTCAAAGATCACAGCAGTGTTTCCATCTTTTTCTCTCCCTGCGTGCGTTCATATTCATGAATGTGACACGCAGCTCTTGTTTAACAGCATGCCTGTCCTTGCCCCATCTGACACACCTAATTCAAGCATGTATATAAATACACAGGGCTTCCAACCAATCAGACCCTGAGCTGTAAACACAGTTTGTTTGTGAGTTACAGACTGAGGTGAGGCGATGGACAGTTTGACTCATAAGTCAGCCTTCCTGTGTTTTTCGATGCTTGAAACAGACAGTAAAGTAACTTGCTTGTGAGAAGCAATTCGGCAACTCATCTGTTCCTTCGGTGGGGACAAGACAGATCTTGATGGGACGTTGTGTTAGTAGGAGACAGTACTAGCACCAATGTGCTTCTCTGTGTGTGTTTGTTTTTTTTTTAACTTGCTTGTGAGAAGCAATTCGGCAACTCATCTGTTCCTTTGGTGGGGACAAGACAGATCTTGATGGGACGTTGTGTTAGTAGGAGACAGTACTAGCACCAATGTGCTTCTCTGTGTGTTTGTTTTTTTTTTTTGTCTGCTGATTAGTCTTTTTTATTGTCAGACCAGAACAATAAAGATGTGTCTTAAAAAGAGAATCTGTGAACACTGAAAGAACAAGAACTTGTGAAGCTGTGTCCACTCATTTCCCTACTTTGGGCTTTATGTCATATCAGTAAACTGGCAAGATTTGTAATGAATCCTTGAACTTATTTTTTGGCTTGTTTGTTTTATTTTAGTAGAGTTCTTTTTTGATCTAATTGACCACTTTTTCATGTGGTTTGATTCCCCCTACCTCTGCAGCTTTCACTTTTAGTGAGTCTGTTCTAAGGGGTTGTGCTGCCTAATAGAGATACGTTACTTTAGTAGCAGAAACCATTTTGTAGATCTGTGCGTGCACAGTGAGCTTAGGTAGGACAAACTGAAAGGTCGGATGATTTTTTTTTGGACACAGCTCTCTCCTCTCAAACTTCCCTGTCCCTGCACACTTGACTGTTTTCAGATGATAAGGTGGCAGACCCAGCAGGTACAAAGTCAGCTCTGCTCCCCAGCAGCAATGTAAATGACCTGCATATATATGAGGCAGTGAGGCTGTTCAGGCTGCAGATCTATTTACATTACAAACAATAGGCTGCCCAGCCCATTTAAAGGAGCACTATAACCTCTAGAGTCCTGAGCTTTGGAAACCCAAGCTGTGCGGTCCTCATATGAGGACGCAGGGACTCTAGAGGTTAATACTTGTGCACTTATTTGTTTTGTTTTTGCAGAGTTACATGTAGACATTGATGCCTCCCTCATATTTGTGAATGTTTTTCTTTGTTTTTTTATGTGGTAAACTGAATATTTTGGGTTATTAACTGTTGGCTAGACCAAAAAAAGGGCTATTTGAACAGGCCAATTTGCATTTTAGGAAATAAGAATACTATTTTGGTGGTATTTCTATAGACCAAATGATAAATTGATTAACTGAAAAAATAATTAGCAGATCATACTCTTCCTTTAAGATTAGACACCTTTTAATGGTGTAGGCCAACAGTATTGTGTTATTAGTACTTTTGCTTAAGTAAGGGGTTTGAATACTTTTTCAGCTGTTGTTGACAGATGTGTGCACACTGTGTCTATGTCACAACAGCACACAAGTAGTCAACACTGTTAAACCAAGCTTTACTGCTAATTTGAATACTGTGGGCACACAAATAGCTTATGAAGGCTATTTTTGTACCCACCATTCCCCTTTGGTACTGTCCTCTGTAATGCCTGATGTCTGTAGTCTTAGATAAAGAATCTCTGTCTGCATCTCATATTGCATATAGCCTGTATATACTGCACTTCAGAGCACTCCACAGTTCTTAGATAGCTGGCCTCCAAACACACATAACATCTGTGTACTGTTCCATACTTGCACAGGCTCAGCATTGTGGAATCCTGTCACCAATTCAAATTCTCAGAGCTGATGTCAGCAAGTGTCTCTCCCTCCTCCCAGGAGACCCCTCTGCAGGCCTGTGTATTTAATTCAGCAGAGGAAGGAGGAAAGGAAGCTGGGAAGTCTCAGACCATTTCTCTCCTTCCTTCTGTCCTTACTGTTAGGTATTTTTAGTCAGATAGAAATTGGATAGATACTTTATGTATTAGAAATGTTTAGTGGAGATAGGATGTCTAGTTAGACTGTTAAATGCTTAGTCATGCTTATGAGTTTCTACAGGGTACATCTGGTCAAGGATACTAGAGAGAAGAGTTGATGATTGTCAGCAGACAGGGTGTTTAATATTATTATTATGACGTGTATAACTGTAGCCTTAGCCATAATATGTTCTTATGTTTGAGCCACGACATGTTACTAGAGGTCGTGAGAATGTTTTTAGCTACACACCACTTAATCATCAGACACACGCACTTTGATTTGCTTCATGTTTTGACTACTGCTATGACCAGCTGCAAAGCTGGCAACAGAGACGTCTCGGTTGACGTTTCTGTGTAGTATGGGGCTAGCCCAACCGAGGGGATATAATGTATAGGCCTGGTGGGTTCAGGGTCTTTCATCTTACATCTGCCTGTGAGCAGTTTGGAGGTGCAAGATACCTGAGCGTGTAATGTTAATTTTACATGTGATCCTTTGAATAAATCAGCACTGTTTTGAAGTTACTTGGACTGTCTCGTCTCTCAGAGTTAGCAATGGTAAGAAGAACCAAACTCTAACATTACCATTCCCTTTTACATCTCATGGGTCTGTCCCTACAAGGCTAAAGCAAACATGGCATAGAAATAGTGTCCTTGGCAGGGGAGTGCTGTTAAGTACAGCATGGGTGAGGACAGGCTGTACTCTCCAGAGGGGGACGATAGCACCTCATTCACGCTCTTCTGCAGGATGTTATGAAACCCAACAAGAGAGCTATTTAAATTCCCCAGAGGATTAGGGTACCTCAGGTGATGAGGAAACCCTAAGTTTCAGCCACTTGTGTCTGCCTGAGTGTTTTCTGTGCTGGGGGTGTTCTGTCAGTCTTTAATGGTGAGAAGAGTCCCTAAGTCTTAGTGGTAATAGTCCTGAGCAAAGATAAAAAAAGACTAGGCTAAATATTCAACCTTTTCCTTTCCATTCATCCATCCTGACGTCAAAGGCTTTTCTGTATACAGACTAGGGCGGCTAAAAACAGCTGAGTCTCTTGAGATAGGGGCGTTGGGACGTCTTTTAGGCTATTCAGAAATGTCATTATCTAACTCATATCACGTTACTCGGGAAAATACGATGGCCTACATGGAGCTGTCACAAGTGTTGAAGCGAGGCTAAAGTTGTGATCTCAAATCGCATAATCCAGCCTCAATCAGAATAAAAACACAAATACCAACTCTCACGACAAATCATGCTACACTAC